AAAATTTCTTGATTTGAGAACATTGTAATTTGTGGTACTATTTCGTAGATATTTCTACAAAAAAATAACTATTTCTACAAAAAATTAAATATTTCAACAAAAATGTACAAATTTCTATTTCTAGTTAAATTTTGTAGTTATTTATAGAAATTTTTTCCGTCAGGGTAGAAAGGGACTAGAAAGGCAAATTCTGGATAGAATAACCTAAATAGGCCCAGAATAGGCACTGACATGGCCATTATCAAGGTCTGCAAACGTTGGGCCTAGAAAGGGACTAGAAAGGCAAATTCTAGATAGAATTTCATATATAGGCTTAGAATAGGCACTGGCATGGATGCCACTATCAAGGTATGCTAACGTTGGACCTAGAAAAGGACTAGAAAGGCAAATTCTGGATAGAATTTCCTTAATAGGCCCAGAATAGGCACTGGCATGGATGCCACTATCAAGGTCTGCTAACGTTGGACCTAGAAAGGGACTAGAAAGGCAAATTCTGGATAGACTTTCCTTAATGGGCCTAGAATAGGCACTGGCATGGATGCCACAATCAAGGTCTGCTAACGTTGGGCCTAGATTGGTATGCCCTAAAATAGCCCAGGTAGCAGACAGTCGTCATAATGACGTGATTCTAACGTCATATTATGACGTAGGTTACGTCATTTATTCCTAAAGTTTAACGTAAAAATGACGTATTTTTCACGGTCCTAAGTCACATCCCAACGACGTCATTTTCTGACGTTTTATTGACGGCAAAAATAGGTCTAATGTACGACATACCGGTTTCTAGAAATGTTTTTTATGAAATTAAAATTTTAAAATGTCTACTTGATAAACGTTTACAAAAAAATGTTCTTTTTCTTTATTTAAAAAAAAAAAGCTTTTTTAACTGTTTCGTTACATGCCATATGTGCGTATAGCCGCTCTCAAGGCGGTCACCCATCCTAGCACAGTACCGCGTCCGAGTCGCTTGACTTCGATGATCCAGTGGACAGTGACGATCTTCTCACCCTGATGTTTCCTTATTAACTGTACTTGTCTATAACAGGTACATCTTTAAAGTGTTCAAAAATCTTGTAATGATATCTTTTTGATAGTTATAACACTGCATGAAATAGTTGTCATAAAACTATAATTACACACGCAACTAGATCCACTTATACCATAAATTCACCACGTCGTTCATAAAGTTACGAAACACTTTATAAATGTAGGAATATTCCTGTGAAAAATACTGTGAAAAATGTCATTTTTACGTTAAACTTTAGGAATAAATGACGTAACATGCGTCATAAAATGACGTAAGAATCACGTCATTATGACGACTGTCTGCTACCTGGGTAGTCAATTAAACGTCTATATAATGTCATTTTACAAAGTCTTTTTGACGTATTAAAACATGACGTTAAATATACGTCACATAATCGACGAATGACGTTACTGACCAATTATGACCAAATATTGACGTCAAAATGACGAGTGCTTGCTACCTGGGAGGTCTACCATTGTTGGGCCTAGAAAGGGCCTAAAAAGGAATTTTCTAAACAGGCATTAACATGAAACCCTACGATTGTTGCCGTGAAATTATAAGTTTTACAATTTTTTTACATAAAATTTATTTCTTTTATTATCATGAAATAATTCATTGATTTAATTATTATGTTTCTTAAGATAATTTTTAAAAAATTATATATTTGCGCTGGTTACGACATATGTAGACTATATATAACACATCAAATTAAGAAGTAGTTTACCACGAAGGCAGTTGGCTCACGATCCAGAGGTCCCGAGTTCGAATCCCACCAAGGTAAAGTGTTGTTTTTCAAATACGAGAAAATATTTATAATTATAGACTGCATCTTAAGAAACAAATTTAGTTATAAAATAGTAATAAAATTTGAAGAAAAAAAAATGTTTTTTAATGTAAATATCATATAAGGATTACTGGAAAGTTGGGCATGTCTAGATAGGGCCTAGTTAGGCGTGCTAGAATAGAGCCTAGTCAGATACACAAATCAGGCTCTGACTTACACAAGCGTTACATCTCTGTGCAGGTCCTAACCAGGCTTCCTTGATAGGGCCTAGACAGAAATGGGGAAAAACTATCTACAGCCTTTACAGGCCCCCTTTTAAAGTTCTACCCGGGATAGCTCCTGTTGTTGAAGTAGTAAATTCTTTACTATTATTTAAATCAATTTAATTAGAGGGGTGTGAGGGGATTTTATTAATCCAATAGGAGCTGTGTTGTAAGTCTGACAAGTTAGTCGGCGCGTAGTTGATTAAAGTTGGAAAAATATGTAAATATAGTATATAAAAAATATTATTAGGCTACTATAAAATCTAAGCTCAGATCGTAAATGCTTTATTTAATATTGATTAATAATATTTTTGATAAAAAGGCCGCCTAGAACCTAGAATGGAAATATTGGTTAAGTTCTAGTTCAGACGATACTTCTTCGAGATACTTCTAAGTATCTCGACGATACTACACATATACTTCTTCTGAATAAGAAACTTTTAGCTTTTTGCGTTTCAGATACCTAGAACAGCTAGAATTATTTACACCGTCTGTCATTTATGGTGACCAGGATATAACAAAAAAGAAGAGCATTTTTGTTACTTAAAAAATAAAAATAAATTTTTAAAATAAGGCGAAGAGAAAACATGCAAAGTTTAACGTTATATTCACTTTCTTCGTTTCCCTATAAAAAGAAAAATATATATTTTAAAGATCTTTTAAATCAGAATACCTCCGTTAATAATTCTTTACATTCTCTTCCTGACGGAAGAGATTTTACCACTTCTCAATATAAATATAAATTTATCTTTTGTTATTGTTTTATTTAATTATTCCGGTGTTTTTATATTTGTGATTTAATTAGATTATTGTTTACTTTGTTTATATTATTAGGTGATTGTTTAATCTTTTAGTCTAGACTAATGTTTAATGTTTTAGTATGTAAACTTGAACATTAATTATCATGTTTTTTTATATTTATCTTCTTCTATCGTAGTAATCCATCCCGAAGAAGACTAAGTACAGTCGAAACGTTAACCATGTGTATTGTTTAGTTAAGAAATTATTTTTATTTTAATCCAATATCTCTCTGTTGTTGCTCGTGGCCGCTTATAAACATTAATAGCTAATATAAATTTAATAAGAGTAAAAAAAACATTATAAACTACTTTTTTTCTCGATATAGTTAATATGTAATTATTGTTATACCTTTAAATATTCAATTTAAATACTATTATGCTAAAGTAAAGGTTTTTAATGTAAGACTTTTTTTATATAAGAGCGTATTGGCCAGAACAAGGATTTCTATACATTACATTTACGAATTTTAGTTTTTATGTTTATAAATATTTTTGGTAAATGTTTACAATTAGGGCCCGACCTCCGATGACCTTGACCTTGACATATGTTGTCAAGGTCACCCTTCTGAGTGACCTTCAGAAGGTTTTAGTCGGGGGTCGCTTCTTATTAAAAAGTTATAAACAAAAAAAGTTTCGAAAATATAGCAGTTATTTTAAGTATTGAGAGGCATAAACGACTAATATTACGTTTTTCTTTAAAGCAGAGAATACTTTATTTCGCGAGAAAGTCGCTGCTTTACCAAAACACAACATTTAAAGCAGTAAATTGTTGATAAATTGAAGTCTTTTTGTTAAAGCAGAAAATACTTACATGGGTTAGATGACGCGCAATAAACAGTTGAATATTTTTAAAGCGCGTCATCTAACTCATGTGGCATCTCGCATATTAACTTTCCACGTATGAAAAGTTCACGCATACACTTTTCACGCATACCGAGGTTCACCCACACTTCTCCCCTGCTTTCGGGGGAGGTGCGGTAGCCCCGAAATAGTTCACGCATACACTTTTCACGCGAACCGAGGTTCACCCACACCCCCTGCTTTCGGGAGAGGTGCGGTAGCCCCAAAATGGTTTACGCATGGGTTAATTGACGCGCTTTAAACAATTAAATACTGTTAGAGCGCGTCATCTAACTTATGTAGATTAGTGACGCGCTTTAAAATATTTGTAAAACGCGTCATCTAAACTACGTATTTTCCAAACTTTTTTTGTTAATAACTTTTTAACGAATAACGAGCGACGGCTAAAACCTTCTGAAGGTCACTCGGGGTCATGACCTTGACAACATATATCAATGTCATTGAAATCGGTGAGGTCGCCAAACTTTTTTTTGTTAATAACTTTTTAATAAAAAGCGACCCCCGACTAAAACCTTCTGAAGGTCACTCAGGAGGGTGACCTTGACAACATATGTCAAGGTCAAGGTCATCGAAGGTCAGGCCCTAATTGTAAACATTTACTATATTTTTTAAATTAATTATATTTTTAATCTTTATATTTATAAAACGTAAATGTAACGTATAGCACATCGTCGATTTGCCAACTCGAGACTCGGCACTCGGCGAGACGCGAGGAGCGATACCTGAAATGCATGGCATCGTGGCATAGCCGGCGCGTGCTAAGCAGCTACGTCACAGCTCAAGCGAGAAGGAGACAGCAGATCGTATGTCTGCCCTTCTTTCCCCGCTCGAAGCTTGCCGAGTGCCGAGTCAGCCGACTGGCATATCCCCTCCATCTGAGTAGTTCGGACACGAACCATAGCACGGAGACGAACCATGTGTGTACCGTTACCAAGTGTAACGACGTAGTTGACGTCCACTTTCTCAGGCGGCGCGTCAGTATACGTCTGCTGGAACGGAATGATCCCGATGGCCGCTCTCAGGTTTCTCTCTGATACAACTTATCGACACAATATCAGATAACAAACATTATGAGTTCGCGGTACTGAATATGGGAGTTTCTCCAAAGACCGTGACCATGGGACAATGTGTCGAACGAGGCGACGTTTCACGTTTGCCGATAATTCCGAGAGTGACAGTGAAGAAACAAGAAACCCATCACGCGCCAAGATTTGATCATCGGTGAAGATCAACCGAAAGAAGTGATAGAAGAATTGGTCTCCATTATGAACGAGTACCGTGACTGTGTTGCAATCAATTTGTCGGAGTTAGGCTTAGCGACGAACATTGTTATGGACATCAAAGAATTACCAGGTAGTAAACCGGTAGTGTCAAAACCGTACCGAGCTAGCAATTCTGAACGAGAGGAAATAAGCCGAATTATTCGAGAGGGGCGCGAATCGGGGATAGTGCGGGATACAGATTCCCCTTACGCGAGTCCTGTATTATTGGTACGTAAGAAAAGTGGTGAATCACGTTTTGTTGTAGATTTCCGTAAACTCAAACGACAAACCGTACGAGTGCCTTTTCCTATGCCTAATCCGGATGATCATTTGGAACAAATTAGAGATTGTGATCTTTTTATTATTCTTGATCTAGCGCATGGATATTTACAAGTTCCGTTGACCGAGGAAGCAATGCCAAAAACTGCGATCATTACGCCAGACGAAACTGTAGAGTGTACGCGAATGATTTTCGGGTTGTTGAATGGGCCTGCGTATTTCACTAAAACGATGGATAGGTCATTAGGACCACTACGAAGACGGGTAATATTATATTATTTAGACGATATATTTATACCAGGACGCAATTGACCAGACTTACGTAAAAGATTAGTTTTGACACTAAAAGCGTTGCGAAAGGCAGGATTGACTATTAAATTAAGTAAATATAGGTTCCTCTAGAAACGAGTTAGTTATCTAGGGTTTGAAATATCGAACACAAGGGAATTGAGCCAGGAAAGTCGAAGGTGAAAGCGATTATAGAATATTCGACACCGACTAACGTGCATGAGACGCGACGATTTATTGGCATGGCCAGCTTCTTTAGGCGATTTATCCCGAAGTTTGCACACATAGCTGCTTCATTGCATAAGTTATTAAAAAGCGAAGCAAAGTTTACGTGGTGCGAAAAAGAATAACAAACGTTTGATAAATTAAAAGAGATGTTGTCGAATAAACCGATTTTGCAATCATTTGATCCTAGACGAGAAACCGAACTACATACCGATGCCAGCGCTTTGGGACTAACGGCGATGATGTTCCAGCGTGATGAGCAAAAACGTTTACGATTAGTTTATGCGATTAGTCGACGAACGAGTGAACCCGAGAAAAATTATCATTCCAAATTAGAACTTCTAGCAATCGTTTGGACGGTTACGCGACTGCATGAGAACAATGTTAATTAATATACCATTTACCATAGTTACAGATTGCCAGGCATTGTTGGTATCTAAGTATCCAGAAGACTGTAAATCTGCAAGTAGTACGATGGAATAACACGAATGAATTTAATTAATTCAAGCAAATTTAATTTTAATATTACGCATAAGCCGGGTACAAAACTCGTTCATGTAGATGCATTGAGTCGAGCGCCAGTAGGTGAGAGTGATCAAATGAATGAGTATGGTGTGTTTACATTAGTGAATGAGTATGATGAAATTACCATGAACCAGAATAGCGATAAAACGATAGGACGTAAGAGCGTAATACTTAGAAAAACTGTGAATGAGAGAAATAAACATGAAATAAGCGAAATAGAAGGTTATGAACTAGTGAACGGAATAGTGTACAAACGCCAGGGAGAACGATTACTCTTTGCAGATCCGCGAGCGATGAGAAAGGGGCTATAGCTATACGTTTCCACGATTTGAAAGGTCACCCAAGGTTGGACCGGTCAATTGCCATGTTAACCGAACATTATTATTATCCAGGAGTGAGGAGGTACATGCGACAGCATATCGGAGCCTGTATTTAGTGCGCGTTATAACGAAGGTCAAAACCGGTAAACAAAGCGGACTATTGCATTCGATTCCGCCAGGCAAACGACCATTTGCAGTAATACATGTGGACCATACAGGACCGTTTGTGACTACGAAGAATGGTAATAAATATATATATATTTGCGATAATCAATAACCTAACGAAATAAATACGTGATTTTGCACGCAGCCAAAGACACGAAAGTGAGTGGAGTGGTACGAGCATTAGAGAAATTTGTTCAAGAATATGGAGTGCCTTGTAAAATTATATTGGACCGAGGAACGTGCTTCACATCCAGTCGGTTTGCCGAGTTCTGCAGCGAGCAGGAAATTCATCACACGTTGAATTCTCCACGACATCCCCAAGCCAATGGCCAGATAAAAAGAATAAACTTTACTCTAATACCAGTGCTACAAGCGAGTCTACAAGATAATGAAGGACGAGATTGGGACAGTAAACTATTGGAGGCTCAAAGAAACCTAAATGATGCTTCTAATGCGACGACCAGGAAGAGTGCCTTTGAGTTGCTTTATGGGTACCAAGCCCGAAGGAATGAAGGAGAACTACGTAAAGTTACTGATGAGAGTACTTCGTATACACTACCAGAAGAATTACAGCAAGCAGCACGAGAGAGGATTGACACTGAGCAACAGAGAATGAAGGAGAGATAGATTGAAATCGCGCGAAGAACGTTCGATACAACGTAGGAGATATTGTATACATAAGAGTTGCTCCAATCGCTACAAGCGAAAGCACTAGGCTACAGCGAAAGTATCGAGGACCGCTGGCAGTCACCCAAGTGTTACACCAAGACACTTACAAAGTAGCTGATCTGCGACAAGAAGAACCGGGTCGACGTTACGCATCGACTGCCCATGCGAGCCAATTAAAGGTATGGCGACCACATGAGGAAGACAATTCGTCTGAGAGCGACGACGGAGATGTTGACAGCGTGTCTAGCCAAAAGGAGAAACAGATTCGAGAGCAAGAAGATGGCGAGACAACAAGAGTACAAGCTGACAACCAACCAGACGCAGAGGAGAGCGAAATCGAGAACTCGCAGACGCGACGTTTGAAGCGAGAGAGACAAATGCCTGTACATCTACGGGATTATGAGACACTATTATCCAAGGACAAGTAATAAACAGAATGGCCGAGTGATAATGATAACGATTGTAAGCCAGCGAATGAGGAGAGGAAACGGAGCGTTATAGTGAGTAATGGCGAGCCAATGAGCGAGCGAGAGAGTAAGCCGAGATGGCGTTAGAGCGTGAGCGTTGGTAAGCGTGTGTGAGAGAGAGTGAGTTAGAGAGAGTCAGGGCGTTAAGAAGGGAGAAGGAGCGTGAAAGACGAGAGAGTAACGAGAGTAACGGGTGAGCGCGAACTTAGAGAGTAGGGCAGCGGCTCATAACGAGTGTATTACCAAAGAGTGTATTCTGAGTGATCAAATTAGACATATATAGAAAATCGACCCCTTTGTGATAATTAATTACCGAATCGAGAATCCCTACGGGCCACCGACGAACCATCCGCGACAAAGTTTCGAGACCGAGCTGAGATACCGCGAGTCTATATCATTCAGTTAACAATATCTTATATAATATATCAAAGTACATGCGTGGGCGGAGGGGGCGAAGCTTCCTTGCACCCCCCATGCATGTGCTTCATAAGTTATAAAGCGAGGTTCACGTGCATGGAGGGTGCAGGAGGGGTGAAGCCCCCCCCCGCTCACGCTTAAAGCTAGGTACATTTCACACCCGGGCATGCCAAAGGCGTGTCCTGGGGGGGATGCGGGGGGGGGGGCGAAGCTCCTCCTGCCCACGCTTCAACGCCACCCACACCGCCCAGTGCATGGGAGGTGCGCGGGGTGGAGGCAAATCCTCCCCCGCTCACGCATGTACTTTGATATATTATATAGGATATATTGACGAGTAGGGATGCAATAATATTAACATAATTTATGACTAATTTGTCTATCATAAGAAACATTAATGTATACATTATAAGTATACATACGTTTCAAATTCGCGCACTTTTGCATGCGCGTGCGGCCACTGAGCATGCGCATGTGGCCACAGGGCATGTTCAGTGTTGCTACATCTCGTCGGTATGACAGGAATCATAAACTGTTTTTTGTCAATTTTAACGTTTAATATCTCGCGTCGCGGGGCAGAGCGACACTTTTTTCTGCCAGATTCTTTCGTTTCGTGCAAAAACGCGTCGATTGAGCATAATTTCATCGATATTTGAGGTGACGCCCCTAAACTAAATAATTACCACGGGAAACATATTAGAATAAAGTGCCCACCAAATTCTGGCAGTTGCTACTTTAA